TTATTTCCAATAACATGTAACATGCAATTTGTGTTACACATATTGTTGATTAGTGAATAACGATTCATGAGTTGCGACAATATTGAGAAATTATCGTAGTTATAAATTATAATTGTGTTTCATGTTTATCTATGTGCGAAATTGGGAAACGTCACTACTCACTAACATGATTATTCTCTTTACAGTATTTCCTTAGCTCTTCGGTCCTTTAGACTCTAAAGTTTAGAGTATTAACTATTATTATCATCATTATCATTATCATTATAATCATCATCATCATCATCATCAGTCGGGTATGCTTTATCTCGGATATTTTTTACCGTGGGTATTTTGTTCCATCTTCCGGTTGCCGTTTAAATTAAAAACAAAATAATATTATGTACCTACCTATACAACAATAATAATATCGGTTTGGTTGTCGTAGCTTACTTGCGTATTGAGTCCAATGTATATAATTGGATTCCAGCATATGCTCGACTTGGCACACAAAGCCGGTATTATGCTGACGACCGGACTGATATGAACGCCGCCAAATGCAATCATGAGAGCTAGTACTGAATACGGCATCCACGCAGTTAAAAACGCCAATATCATCACGGCCACCATAATGGCTACCCTGCATTCTGCTTTAGTCGCTTGTCCGATGACTTTTTCAGCAGATCTCTGTTGAACGCAAAACATTGCAATACGTTATTGTTATTGTCGCGCTGACAGCACGCAGGGAGTTTTTTTTAAAAAAAATTTTCACTTTATTTTTTTCATCTCTACTATATTATATTTTACTATTTTAGTGTATATTATTATATATTTCAATTATTCAGTTATTGTCTTATTGAGTAGACATAATTTTAAATAAATTACAGTAMATTTTTTAGATATTTTTAATTATTAGGCATAATTATAATAACAATCAATAAACGTTCATAATATAATTCAGTACTCTTGTATAATTTGTGTTCGGATTACTTTGCAATTCATCGTCTTATTTGTCAAGAGCTATAAAATTCAAAATTATTTGACGATCGCATTTACCGCACGAAGTAAACTTCCCACCATGTTCAGTTAACTTTGAACGCCATGTCAGTCGTAACTAAAACTATACTTATTGTTAAATAATATATATATATATATATATATATACCAGCGTGTATTAGGTACGTGTTATGGCCTTATCCAGTAGGGACTGACAGGCTTAAGTCCCTCACGAAATGTCCGATGATCATTTTTGTATCAGTAAATTAATCCTTAATGATGACATTTATTTTTAAACATCAAATATTGGAGTTCTTCMCAAGAAACAAAAATCTGGCACTACAGTAGGTATAGGTACTGTTAAACTGGACCTGTACATAAAATATGTAGAACTAGACCTAATATTATCTATAATACTTGTAGTACTGAAATCGTAAATAACTTGTATCATGAAGATTTATTTTTATACATTAATATTAATGGTGGATATGGTTATATTTTTTTCTTATTATGTGTATAACGTTTAATTCCACCATGCGATAACCGTCTCTTTTGACATGAATATTTCTTTTAACATCGGCCATTCCATTTGTGGACTAAACGAATCATATTCTTAGTATTTCATCATAATCAAGTACGTTACTGAATGTCTTAGTAAATTTAATAGTAAATATAAAATTATTTTGATCACACGGCGTTATGGGTAGGTTATTTAGCTACATTGCTGTTATAGGCCTGTAAGTTACCCAGTATTTTATAGTTTTGTATAATATCATGGCGTAGTACATTTTAGTTAGAGTATATTTACTTCATTGATAAAATTTAATAATTCGAAAAAAAAACTGTATATTTATAATTTTTAATTTTTAAATATTATGTATTTTAATATACAATTTTTATGAAAAATCTTAATATTTTACCTTTCTTACTGTAACGACGAGGCTCACATACGAATAGATAATCACTGTAACTGGTAGAAAAAGTCCAAAAACAAATATGTATATAACATAATTGCTATGCTCACCACTCTCCCAGTCTATTGAACAACTAGAAAATATTGTTTAACTTTACTAAATTGACAAGTGACAATACATCATGTAACTMAAACTGATTTAAGAATAAGACCTTTGATTTTATTACATGGAATATRCATATATAGTTGATAATATCGTTTTGATACTTCTTTACAATAATTGTGGTATATTATTTTATTCGAAATACAAAGAAAAAAAAATATTTAAAGTTGTATTTTTAGAAAATTTTTGAAAGGATATACTTGAAATATTGTTCTAAAAAAATTTTCCTCGATGAATGAATAATATGATTTTGTGACCAATTCCCAGTCATTGAGTTTATACACAGTACTTCTTAATTAATATAAAAATTAGGATTCCTTTAAATTTATATTTATACTAATTTGTGAAATCTGAAAAAATGAAACGCATATATTTTGTTAATTTTGTTATTTTTTCTATTATCTGTTAAATAAACTATTACAAGCATAAGAATAGTCGCATAGATTAATGCCATTACGATTAGATTTTAATGGGCTCCAGGGGTACTTAATCATAGTAGATTTTCTGTAAATATTCTTTTATCACGAGTTACGTCATTGTCAGATTCAGTATTACCTGATATTTGCAGATTCGTTGACGTAACGATTCCACCCGAACAACGGAGGTCCTGTTACAGCAAACGCATATATCCATATTCCAACTATTGCGTATATTGCAGTTTCTTTTGTCAACCTGGTGCTGCTGAACGGATATCGTATCATTAAATATCGATCGTATGCCAGCACTGTTAATGTTGTTATTGACGCTATTCCTGAAAAAATAAGATTAAAAATAAGTTAACTCGGAAATTTGTGTATAGGTATGGATTTATTTATATTTAATTTATTGATTTTATTATTTGATGTAATTATGAATGATGTTTCATTTACCTACTATAATTTATGACATCATTAATATCGATAAATTAATGTTTTAGTAGGTAATGATTTTGGTAATTTTCAACTTTTTCATAGTACCTACATGTAATAAATTAACTATTAAGACGTACAGGTACTATTTGCAATAATTGTTGACGAGAGTAATTATATTTAATGTGGTCACAATATGATTAAAATATTATTTGGTTAATACCTTAATAATTTATTCCACCTACTTGAAATACTATATTATAAAGGTGAATAATATAAAATATACACGATAAATGGCTCTATTTTTTTTTTTTTTAATACTTACGTCTTACGTACTTAAAAAGTAACAAATAAACTAGTAAAGATCAAACGAACATTATAAGTTTGAGGAAAATTATTTATTCTAGACTCCACTCTTTAAAATATTCATTTAATTATTTTATTTAGATTTTTGTTTGTAAATAAAATTTTGTTATTTCATGTTAACGTAAATTAAATTTGACTTTATAAGTTGCACCAACAACACTAAAAACATTAACAACATTTAGCTTAAGAAATTCAGAATTTAAGTGATGTATATTACATTATATATTAGTCTAATTCGTAATAAATAAATAATTTGTTTTTATTCAACAGAAAGTTTTATACATTTAAATAAAAAACTATTATTTATACTTGATAAGTATTTAGTTCTAGTTGAAAATGTCTTTAAAATATATGTATATAATATTTATCTCTGTACTATCATAAACAACRCATGCAATAAAAGTTTATAYTTAAAAATGTCGATAAATATAATTAATGATACATTTTTGCACAAGAACCTAAACATTTTAAGTTCAAATTTGGACAAAATTACATATAATCGAGAATTTAAGTTATTTTTTTATAATTTTAACATTATTATTCATGGGTAATAGCTAGAGATTTTTAGAATAAATTGTAAATAATTTTTACACACAATGAAATTCTCAAATATAATATTTTGGAAAATAATTAATTCAACCTACTCTAATACTAAAGCCTTCTAATTATAAAAATGAATTATTTCAATCACAATAATATTATAAAAGTTATACTTGTCATATTATATGATTATTAGATTCACTCAAAATCGTTTTTCGTATGCAATGATGATTAAATTCATACAACCATTACAATGACTCTCTAGATACCTAATGTCAAACAAAGCATTACCCACTTAACCGCTTTTTAATTAATTTAAAAACTCATGACGTTATGTCTAATATAGTATTAGTTATCAATAATAATAGTCTATAAGTATAATTGTTATTCAAATAAGTTTTATATTTACGTAAATATATTTAATAATTGTTTTATAATTATAGAGTACATTAAAGTATTTTCAGATCCTTGGTATAACGATGAATATATTGATTTTACAATGATGTATATTTTGTTTTGTATGTATTCAAGGGAAGTAGTAGAAAATTGTTTCAATCTTAAAACTTTAGGGTAGGTTCTAATAGAAAATTGTATCTAGTTGCTACTTTTAAGAGGTAAAAATTAAAAACTCGCAGTATTTTTCAAAATATTTGTTAAAAACAAAAGATTGAGATTTTAAAACAAATTAACCACGCAGTATAATTTATTATAAGGGTGAATATTTACTATTGTAACATATCATTTTTAATTTACACCCACAATATTTTTATTTTATTTTATTATTGACGGGCGTTAAACCATTTGATATAATAGTACAGTAATATTAGTATTTACAACTAATAATAATATTATACAAAAATATACTGAATATTATTGGTTCTATATTAAATTATATTCTGAAGCTAAAGAAAAATACTTTTCTACATAAATAATTTAGTATATATACCTACTAATAGTCAATTATTTATAAACACTAAAGTTTGGAGAAGAGAAGTATTGGCGTAATTAGAAATTTACTTCGTTATTGCGGCGCACGATATGTTACTATACGTTAACGTATCTAAGTATTAGAGTAGATACTAGACAACAACATTTTGGTTGAAGCAAATACGTGTAAATTTCCTACGCAATCACATATGCCAAATTTGTTAGAAGTTTATACTGTAATGTGCACTGATGTATCGTTATTGGTTTATGACAGAATCGAGTTCATATCGTAGGTACTTATGAAAAATAAACACATTTTATAGTATTAGTTTATCAGAGATTATTGCAAATGATCGATTGAAGCCTCAAGTTTTTATAATATAATAAATAATACTGTAGACTGTAATATAAACAACTAAACAATTATTAAGGTGTTATAGTCGGAGCATATTAGTATACTACTGCAAGATTTTTATTTTTTTTTTATTACTTTAAAGYCTCAACAACTAATGTTATTAGCTTACATATTTAAATATTACATCTACATTAGGTACAATTTACAATACATTTTACAATATTCCAATATAATTATTTTTGATATGTGCAATGTCGAAAAGGAAAAAAAATCAAAGAAAAAATATAAAATTATATAAAGTTATACAGTTTGGTTATTTTTAGAAAGGTTAAAATATTGTTAGAATTTTAATAATCTGGTCYAAGTGTTTCATAAAGGTGTTCTGGAATGTTTAAGGAGGTTCTGGTATCAGCAAAATTGCTGCTGTAAGATTTTACTGTAAAGAATGCGTGGGGTATTGGGCACCATCGTCAAGTGTTTTGTATCACTCAACTTGGTGTTAGGTAAAATGCTTATAACTCGATCGTTAGTTCAATATGTGCAGACTTAATTATTATAAATATATTTATTTAACTTTAGCAGCATTATTATCAGAGACGAAAAATTATACCAYCAATAACAAGAAACTATAATTCCTTTATACCTACTATAAATTCTGTGCGTTCGATTAAAAATTAAAAAGACAGGAATTGAGATGAGTAACATCAAGCCCAACACTCAACAGATATACATATTAATAATCTGAATTATTAGAACAAAGATTTATTAACACCTGGATAGATAAGTTTATAAATCAATACTATAGTATTTCCCAGCTATAATATTATACACAATATTATGCTCTTTTGTGTGTGTTCTTTTTCATGAAAGTGTATGTATATGTTGGCAGTTCATGTTTTGTTTGAAACTCTTTACCCAACATTCAGTACTCCATCCCATACCGTTAACGATAAGGTACTTCTTCAGCGGCAGTGAGTTATTACGTATTGTAAGAAACAATATTTAATTTGTATTCTCCACAATGGCGTTTAATATTTAATGATTAATTTCATATTGAGTACTTTTTTGTTTTGTGTGTATGTAATAATATGTATTATAATAATTTATACATGCAATTTGTATGAACCATGTATCAATATTGGTGTGATAATTATTGAAAACAATGAATTGATAATAATAATTACCAAATAATGCCATAAAGAATCCATAGATAACACATATGGTTTGACCAAAAATCCAGCCTTTGGTGATGGCAGCAGCCAAGGTAACTGGGTTTCCCAGTACAGACACGGCTAAGTCGGACGTTGCTAAGTTGAATATTATCACGTTTTGTGGGGTCCATAGCTAAATGAAAAATATTATTTAACAATTAATCGAGTGTTGATAACAATACATATTTAATAGATAATAAAATATTCTTATGCATTATACCTATATGTTATACTAAACTTTTGTGATTGTATTTTATACGTTCGACTGTCGTAGAACATCACCAAAACATTTAATATTAAACTACAATTTAATGATAAGTAGTAGATAATTGAAACTTAATTATATTTATATACTCGTAGAGTTATGAATGCAGAAAGTCTAAGGGACGCTGCCTCATAAACTAAAGTTTTAAGTATGTTATTTAATATTTGTGTATAAAATATATCATTTTATATTTCAATATTATAATGGATCGTTTTATTCGAGTGTTTTATGACTAGGGTTAGAGAAAAAAGTGGTAAAATTAAATATTTATTCTATTATTGGAACTTGAATTGAAAATTATTTAATTTTTAACTGCACACTGAACAAATAATTGAAATTATTAAATGACTACCATCGGTTAGGTTAGATTTTATTATTATATTAGGTAAATATTCGATTCAGGTCCTCGTGATTTTAAAGATTAATTAAGCCTACACAAAAATTATAACGAGATATGAGTGGTAGATGGTAGACAACTTTAAAATACAAGTATAGAAAAATCTATCAAATATGCAAACATATGCACATTCAAATTTTAGATCTAATATTATGGCACCGAGAAATGAATTTATTTTGTAAATATGTTATATTTATCAATAATTATTAAAATTATGCAAATACTAAAGCATATTTTTCAACTAATTGAATTATTTACCCGTGGATCCCTAATCATGATGAAAATGACACAAGTGTTGAAGAGGAATCCAACTATTCCGATAATACTCAGTACGATGGCAGCACCTAGGTAGATGGAATCTGAAATGTGCTGTGGCTGAGCGTATTCTCCGTTCATAAGGACACATCATAAGACCACATTGAATGCTTGACATCAACGTATTTGATTTTCAACAGCACCTAAAAACAATAAGCATAAACTATTTTAATAGGTACCTAACAGTAATTGGCTATATTATGGACAATTTGTTTTTGATTTATTTATTAGATTCTATTATCAAAATATGAGATCCACTGGTGAGGGAAAGGTAACTGACAGTAAAAGTTTTCAACTTYGAAATCACTATAATTAGTATAACTATGTTTGAGTTAAGATCGGGGCTAGATTTAGCTAAGAATGGTAAAAATGTAAATAAAAATGTAAATGTAATACATGGGTAGCTATCGGTACTGTCTATAATTCTATATATTTGTTAACGAAAACTACAGGGTAAACAAAAAAATTAAACTTGTGTGAAACGAAAACCGTAAGTAGTAAAGCTTATTTAGCAATATGGGTATCAGTTAAGTAGTCTATACTCWATAAACTAGGTATTGTTTGTATTGTATGTTAAGAGTTATGACATRTAATATCATATAAATGTACCTATATAATATATGTTTGTACATTGCACCTATAGTATGTTAATATTATTATTGCACATAATGTTATAGAAAATATTAATATTATGAATGCTATTAATTATTATACGAAGAAGTTAATTACAAATATTTATTTTTAAAGTWCCTACCTAATTATTATATAATATTTACAATGTTTAATTACATTTCATACTATAAGTTATGTCTTTTAAAATTCAATTAAAAATAAATAAATATACTACATAAAAGAAGACAATTATACAATAATAAGGATATTACTTATGAACATTTGAAGTATTGATTAGTGATGCTAGTGATTGGTAATTTTTACTTCTTCCAAACAGTTCAAGAAACGATCAACGATGAATAATTATAATGAGCCGTCAAAATCTTCTGAATAAGTTTATGAGTTATTGACAAGAGGTATCTCATTCAAATTAATTGGATGTTGGAAGAAAAAAATTTGGTACTTTATGAACAATACATTTAGTATAAATGAATTATTAACATGTAAAAAAAATTACTGATATCATTATGAATAGACAATTTAGATGTATTATTTTTATAGGTTRGATAGTGATACTGAAAAATCACATCAAATATTTTATTGCTTTATAATTAATGACAAAAAAGTAAAATAACAGATATGTAAGAATTACACTATAGGTATCATGTGAAACTCAAATTGACATTCCTAAACGAGGGTTTATCAATAAATATATTCTACAAAATAAATTAAAACTAAACCAAAATTAAAACGGAATCATAAGTTGTTAATAATGTATTATTTTTTATGACTAAAATTCAATGTAAAACTATCAATTCATCTACACTTCAAAACAATTTTCTTTGTAGTAAAAATGAATGGTTGAGTTAAAGGTAAAAAGAGTAAAAATATACTTTTGAGTTTTAATAGAAGWCTCATTATTTAAAAATGTAGGATTGTAATTTATAATTAAAAATACGTTTTCACCTAAAGATAATATTTTTCATTGCCAACTGCTATGGAGATTGGTGCAGTTATAGTGAAAAGATTATAGATATTAACATGGTTAAACGACGGTGAAACATATTTGAATTAAAAAAAGAATTTTGGAATTAAAAATTTCTAATATCCTTTTGGTACCTTGATCATATAATTTTTATAAAATTCTTATTTWAAATTTTTGATTTGTACTAGAGCTCAACCACAGCGGTTATTACTTATTTCACTTGTTAGGTATATATGCAATAAACATTTATGATTATTAAGGTCCATAAAAAAACTATTTTTAATTTAAAATCACACATTCACCAAATATAAAATAAAAATGTCTGGCATAACATATAAATTAATACAGTCAGATTTTGTTTGTATAATATATTTTTCAAGAAATATTCAACCTATTTGGAAATTTGTATTGTATTTATTTGCTGAGTGTGAATTTTGTGAACATCTACAATGTATGGAAATATAGAACATTATAATATAAATAATGAAAATAGGTAAATGACACGAATATTCTTAGTTTATAGACATTTTGTTTGTAGAAACAAATAAATAAAAAAAATCTAGCATATATAGATACTATTTTGTAAAAATGTACGATGAAAACAATGAAATAATGAATTATTATTGGTATTACCATTGATTAAATATATATATATATATATATATATGTTTATCACTGGTTGTAACCCGTGTATAGTACTATAGTATTCCTATATACCTATCTATCTGTTATGAAACTACCTATATGGCTATATTATAAAGTGATAAAATAAACGTCCGTTGTATTTTACAGCATATAAATACATTTACGAAAAGCATGGAGATAAATTGAATCCATCAATAAAGCTTTTCGTAAATTTGGTTTCGAACGCAATTTATTGCGTTTCTCACATAGGTAGGTGACAACGGTAAAAACTTTATTATAAAGACAATAAAAAATATTTCTCGCTTCACACGGAATTCATTTTTTCTTTAAGCACAATATATGGTAGATATTTTTTCAAGTAGCCAAAAATTTATAGTTTTCAATATATATTTTGATAATCACCACATATCTATAAGTGCCAATAAGTGTTGAAAATCGCAAATAATTATAGAATATTTTGTTTACGTCACTAAATATTCTAATGGACATACAGTACCTATACGYCACATTTATAGATATTAGGAATTAGGATTATACCCATTAATTCGTCATAACCGATTTAAACGGTTTTTGCGGTAAAATACGCTATATCTAGAGAAAAATTAGTATACTTACTTGCATTCCGTCAAAAAGGTATACACGAATTGCGTTCTGTATTTTTTGGGACGCAATTCGTGTATTAAGTATTTTAATCAGGAGTTCTTAAACAACTAACAAAAATAAATATTATCACAAGGTAATTAAAAAATTGCTTATGAAATGTAATAAAAAAGTAAATAAATATTAAATCATTTAGATGTTAGATCTAATCAAAATCAAAATCAATACAGTTCATAATATAATAAATAAATAAATAAATAAATGATAATAATTATAATGCTGTATTGCTGTTAATCAAAATTTCAATCAAAAATTAGGTTTATATTTATTCATCATCGTAATTTATATCATTATCAAAACATCATATCAGAGTCTAAGGTCCCTTATATTTCTGGGATTCTACTACCTAACCTGCAATATAGTGGGACGCAATTTATGTATACCTTTTTAACGAGACGTAACTAAAGTGCCTCTATGCCCTCCCTTAAATGAATCATTGTATACAAGTGATCCACATCAGGTAATTCATCAGTTGTATTGATGTTTTAATATAAATGATAAACAGTCATTGTGTTTTTGAGAATTTATTATTATGCATTTATTTTACGATATCAATCGTCACATTTGAAAACGATTCTGAACGATGTGATAATTATTATTAAGATAGCGTCAAATAAATGTATAATGATAATAGTGATATACCTATTTGCAAACGTTACTGTAAAATGTAAGTTCATTAGAGTTAACTTGATGCAATCGTATCCAGTTAATAATGTTACTTTTCTTGATGCGAATTAAAATGGCAATTAGCTATACCTACATGCTACTAACCTCCAAACATAAACTTAATCTGTGCACATTAATGATGAAAATTAATGTGGTCGTTTTTAATATTATGTTTTAAAAAAAAAACAAAAAATGAATATGCATTTTATTAAAATAGAGATGTGCCATGAATATAATACAATATTACTTATTAAAAAATTGGCAACACTCCTGGTCAACCCAACGTACTAAACTAAACGAAATCAAACCCAGCATTCTCCCATGGCCAACCACTCCACTTACCAGGCGTCAAGAAGTAATTCTTAATAGACTTAGAATCGGTCACACATGGTTAACCCACAAACACCTAATGTCCAAAACGGATCCCGAACCTTGTCTCTCATGCGGCGAAACACCTTCAGTCAAACACATCATATGCTTCTGCCGTGAACACAACGATGTTAGAGTCAACCTCAAACTAGCTGACAATCTCTACGAAGCTCTTGGTCCTGACCCCGACAACACTCAGAAGATATTTACCTTTTTAAAATTATCTAAATTRTATAACCTAATCTAAACACACCTTCACACCCCAAGCTTGAATTGTATAAATATCCCTCCTTTTATCACCATATGTTAAATTTAACTTCAGCCAATAATCTTTGTTGTTGCGGCTTAATTTTAAATAATAATAAAAAAAAAAATATTACTTATTGTTTATATCGATATTGATCGATATGTTTTTCAGTTTTTCACCCGTCACAATCCAAAAACCGAATACTCACTTTTACTATTTTGAAATATAGGTATAAGCTTTTGTAAAAAAGTTTTCAGTTTAATATAATATTATRAGTATACCAAATAAATTTTATATTCATACAATAATAAATTTTTCATTTCTGATTAAGGTTTTTGAAATAGTAAATAGCTAAAATTGTATGTAAAAAACACTTACCTACTGTTATAAGGATATACTTTATGAAATAAAAAGTTTAATACTGACATAGAATTATTAAATAAAATGGAGGAATATAGAGTTATTCGTTTTATGAAAATTCACGTTTTCKTCCTAATAAATATTAAACTTTGCACTTACAACAATACATATTATTATTATAAACTGCATGTGTATAAAACTATAAACCATTTGTTGGAAATACTGTGACATTAATATATATGAATTRCACCAAAATATACATCGATGAATTTAAAAATTATAATTGCAATTACAATTATATTTGTTTTTCAGTAATATTTTAGACCTGTAAAATGAAAACTATAAATATTCCACTTGAGCCAAGGCACAAGTAATATTAAGKAATAATATACATATCTCAGACACTTCATATTAAGAAATGTTGAAAATCACCTGATTTTTTGACTCAAAATACTGAATTTATGGTAGTGGCTTTTTGAGTGCTATATAAATCCAATTACAAATACCAGTTGTGAGGGTTCTCTTTCATATTAGGATRCTCGGGAATKAAATAAGCAGACTGGGTAGAAAACAAAGTCACCTTATCTCAACATTCMACA